ATATATATATATATATGTATGTATACACTCATGGACAAAAAAATTAGCGAACTAAAAAAATAAATGTGGGATCGTAACGAAACTTGCAATGAATGTACATGTCGGGGAGATATGCAAATGATTAGAAAAGCAGTGTGATTGCGCAATACGTATAGCCGGTAGAGGGCATTGAACATCGTACTCTGTGGAGTATAAAACAGGTAACCAAAGCTTGCTCGAGTGTGCTGAATCATTAACAGAGGAAGAGCTGAGGTAGACATGCTATTATGCCGTGTTCAAAGGCAATATGAGCAGCTGTCGCAGTTTAAGAGGGAGAGAATCCTCGGATGATGGAAGCTGGGTGGTCAGCTAGGCGAGTAGCTCGTCAATTAGGCCGCTCTGGTTGCGTTGTGAAGAGGTGTTGGGACCAATGGACCCGAGAGATGTCATGTACACGAAGACCAGGCTCAGGACGCCCTCAACAGACCAGTCGTCGAGAAGACTGCCACATCGTGAGAAATGCACACATACAGCCAAGTGCTTCATTGGCCGTCATCCAGGCACAGGTAGCACCCTCACTAGGATCCCCTGTGTCTTCTCGAACCATACGAAGGGAACTGGCTGAAGGACAGTTGGTATCGCTGCACCCATTACGCGTGCTGCCCATGACACCCACCCATCAATGCCTCGGTTTGGAGTTTTGCTGCGCAAGAGGAAACTGGACTGTAGCGGAATGGAACCAGGTTGTCTTTAGCGACGAATCTAGATTCAATCTCAGTCGTGATGACAATCGTGTTTGTGTGGAGACCCCGTGGTGAACCCCTCAATCATGCCTTTGCTGTACGGTAACACACCGCTCCCACAGCTGGTGTGATGGTATGGGGTGCCATTGCCTACAATACATGGTCACCCCAAGTATTGATCCGTGGCACCATGACAGCCCAACAGTATGTCCATGAAATCCTGTAACCACATGTGTTATCACACATGCAATGGCTCCCAGGAGCCATTTTTCAACAAGACAATGCTCGCCCTCATACGGCAAGGGTGTCACAAAACTGTCTCCATACTGTTACTACTCTTCCTTAGCCTGTCCCCTTGCCAATCCCCAGATTTGTCTGCAATCGAGCATATCTGGGATCATTTGGGACAGCGAGTTGGGCATCCCACAAGTTTGAACGAACTAGAGGCAAGGTTATAGCAAATATGGAACGAAATGTCTCAAGACATCATACAGAACTTGTATGCCTCAATGCCCAATCTTATCGCATCGTGCTAGAGGGTGTCCAACGGGGTATAAACTCCTCCGATCTTTTGCCTTTTTCTCTGAAATAAATTATCCTTTTTCTTTGATTTTCTAATAATTTACTTATAAAGCAGTCATTACGTGTGTAAAATTTCATTTTATTTTGACGACTCCTTCTTGATGCCATAGCCTTGAAGTCATAGAGCTCTTTATTCAAATAGAATTGTTTAAATGCAGCTAAAACAAGAAACAAAAAGTGTTAAGTAAAGCACTCTAAAACTTATTTTTAGTATAGGTATGTGAATGTTTTTTTTTAATGTGCGTAACCTTGAGTGACATGAAGGGTATCTATAAGCTCTCATTGTTTTAAATAAAACATCACAAGGAGTGAGCAAATAAACTTCCTCTAAAATTAAATACAAGTTTTGGTACAAATTTTAACTCTCTTATAAAAAAGAAAAGAAATTATTACTTTTTGAAAAAGCTCCCCAAAACATCATTGCAGACAAATAAATCTGCAGCTTGAAAAAATTTTGCCACTTTTTTCCACTCTCTTCATTTTAAAATCAAGGGATATTATTTGAATTTTTATCATTTAAAAGCTTTGCGATTGAAAATTTGTATTTCGTAGCATTTAATGAAATAAATTATTGAATACAATAATTTATTTTTCACCCATTAAGATATGAATACAGTATAAAAACTTATTGTACACCCTGTTTGTTTAAATAAGTTCTCCAGCTAAACTTTTATTTCTTCTACTGTAGTTTACAAATTAACATGTCAAGAAGCTGACATCAGATTTCCTTGTGGCTCAGAGCTATGAAATTAAGTAAAACAACTGTTCTAGTTGGTTTTGCAAATATCTTGCATAGCAAGAAGGAATAAGGATTTTTACCATTTAAGTCCACTTAATATAACTACTTAAGTTGTCCATTGATTATATTTGATTAAAGATGAAAATTTACCCCATAAATATTGAAAATTACATAATAATAATAAATATAGAAGCAAAATTAAAGTATACATCTAACATGTTTCAACTTTAAAGTAAACCCCTATAGGTGGCAAATTTTCCACAACTGGTGAAAAAAAACTTTTAAACAAGAAAAATAACACTGATAAAATATTTCACTCTTTGGAACAAAATGACAAAGATTGGTAGATTATTATTCAAATTAAACTTGGCAATAAGCAATAACATTAATACTGAAGTACAAGTAATATTTCTTTTTAAGCTTTCACATAATTTACATAATGTCAATGCCAACAGAGTTTAATAAAACGAAAACTGTTATGATTATCTGATTTTAAAATGTATGCTTATCCTAAACTGTAATGTATTAATTTTGTTTCTTTATGAAGGGGATTATCAGATGCTTAAGGTAGGGTAACATTTGAAGAATTCGTGGTTTCAATTATTTCCTTAAAGGTTTTGTTATCAAAAGTGATTGATTGGCAATGGGGGTGACATTTTTCTTTGAAACACAAAAATGCGTATAAAATATGTTTTTAAAGCGATTTTATTTTGGTTTTGGAATGAAAAATAATAACGATAAATGAAAATATATTATTTTTCCTGAAGTAAAACTTGCCAGTTGCTCTTGACTTCTCTAATATCATGACACTGATTTGAGGAAGTCGCTGCTTAACTAACAAAGCTGTTATTACTCCTGTTAATCCACATCCTACGATTCCAAGACGGATGTTAGTCATCGCGAATTCTTAGTTGTTTTTCACTTCATCGATAATCTACTGCAAATTATTTTCGTATGAAATAGTATTATATGAATAATTTATTTATGCTTTAGGTTGGGAACTCTTCTATTTAGAAACAGACAATTGATAGTTAAATTGATGGCGAACTCATATCAAACAATTATAAGTGTGCCATACTTTCTGCTTATAGCTTTCATATTGTTAATTTATACAGTCACTCGAAAAAATAGATAAGCGCCGTGACCCTTGCAAAATAAAATTGAAAACGCAAAACGACACAATAAATAGTCTCAAGCCTCGGTTCTCACAGCTCTTTTGTCGTGACACCATGATTGGAAACGTTCTCACTGCCCTCTCGTGAAGCAGTCCATTGTGTATGTGAAATGGGTGACCACTCCAGAGAGAAAAGCCATGTCCAATGCATTTTCAAGGTGTCCAAGGGGTCTGCACCCAAACGCCCAATGTTGGCTTTGTGTGTATTTTAAAAAAAATGGGACGAGTCCCCAATAAGGGGGACTCGTCCCATTTTTTTTAAATAAATGGCTTTTGACATAGAGTTAGATTTCGTGTCGGCAAAGGGGACACGTCCTGCGTCGACGCGTGCGCAACCAATCGTCCAGACACTGTGTGTGAAACACGTGCTGGCAACGAGTTTGATGAGGCATGTCCAACATATCCTCCAAGCAAATCGGGCAAGACTCGGGTGGGGTGTAGTACCACTTATCAAAAGGCAAGGAAAACAGACAATTTCGAATTTCGCTGGCTAGGCGAATCCGCAAATCGTCTGTTATGAGATAACCTTTACTAAACCAATCAAACACAATGTTTATCAACCATCTCATTCCGAAGCGATTAAAGCATCGGAAGGCTGGGCTTGAGGTACTCAAATCATTGTGAAGATCCTGCAACTCTTGATCCATGAATAACTTGAAATCACCCCTCACCCGCCTCACATCGGAATAGCCTTCCGGGTCGAGGAATAGAAGCACTGGATGCGCCTCGTCCCCCAATTCCACGACCTCCGGCTCTCCCATCTCCAACACCTCCCGAGGAACGCTACCGGATGGAAGCGCCCGACCCGCTGGAACGAGATTTCTCACAATAAAAAGATTTGCCATCTGAAATCGACTCTATGTCAAAAAATATAACTGCTCCTCGGCGTGCAAGCCCTTTTTATAGACACACAGAGGGCGCTCCAGTCGTCCTGAAATGTTTTAGAAAATGCCACGTGACCTGAAAAAAATCACACGATGCATTTCCAGAAAGTCACGTGACAGGACATTCGATCCACCTCACCGGATGCACTTTCAAGAAATCGAGCGACACATTACATCCGCCAGATGCACTTTTAGAATATCACCGGATGTATTTCCAGGAAGTCGAGCGACAAAACACTTTCGCCAGATGCACTTTTAGAATATCACCGGATGTAATTCCAAGAAGTCGAGCGACAAAACACTTTC